GGTAGAAATCACGCTTCACAGTTGGAACCTTGATGTCCTGGGCTGGAGCCACGCAGTGCAGTCCTCCCTCCTGATGCTACCGCCCCTGTGGTCGCCAGGGTCGTGTGCCAAGCTATTGATACCGGGAGAAAAACTGATCTCGGCTGGGTGACTGCCAAACGATACAGGAACCTCCAAATGACGGAAAAATGATCTCCCGATCTGACCTAGACGAGTTTGTGTTCTCTAAAACCGAAGAGTGAGTTTTAGGAACAAATGGAGGTTATGAGCAGAATATATTTATTGAAGGAATGAAAGCTCCTGTCGGAGAGAGGGACAGGAGGGGGGCCTGAGTGGGTAGTTCCCTGGGAAGCTGTCTCTTCCAGGGACTTTTATAGTGCAAAACCATGTAGGGCTAAGGTGGAGAGAATGGGAACTCTCTTAGGCAGAGGTGGGATGAGACAAAACTATGGTCACCCAATGGGACTACAAGCACCATTGCTCAGGTAAAGTTGATGAGGCCCAGGACCAAATGGAGTAGCGAGTCACGTAGCAAGCGGGCATGAATGTAGAACAGGACCTTATCTGGTGGCCTTCAGACAATGATTCTTCCCGACTAATGAGCAGTCCTAGATGCCAACTTTAGGGAGGTCAGCATTTGTTTGGTCTTTAGGTCTGGCTCAGCAGGAGCGTCTCCCACAGGTGTAAGGTGTCTGGTCTCTGTCATCTCCTCCAAGGGCCTGACCCTGTCTGACGGCCTATAATATTTCTATCTAACTCGCTGCCTGAAACACTATGACCTTCACAGGTTAAGAGTGCCGTATTTTCTGCAGTCATTCAATGATCAAGTCATGAAACTGAGGCTGAATCTTGGGCCTTGACGGAGCCACAGATTGAATGCCTGACTTTATGGCAGTGAGACTTAGCAGTCTGGTCACAGCACACCTTCTGGAAATGGCCTTGGAAGGCCCCAGTTTTACCCTGCCGGAGCCTGGTGCCTTTGCGAAAGTGGACTGCGGACCACGTGGAAGCGGCTGCGCATCTCAGCCGAGCACTTCGGCCTCAGCTGCACTGTTCAGATCGAGGGGGTCCTGACTATACGACGGTGGTCAGCTAGGTCAGAGGCCGTGAGAAGATTAAAAGGGCTGTTCCCTTCTAGAGATGTCTTCGACCTGCACCATGAAAGGAAAATTCTGTCTCTGGCTATATGAAAACTGCGAAGTGCAAAGCGTGGCTCCGTCCCGCGTGCAGCACGGAGTGCCCCGCCGTTGCTGCGGTGATGGGAGGCGCAGCCGACTTTCAGAAACACCACAGGACCGTTGTCCCACAGTGAGCACACTTCGCCCGTGAGGCTCGCTTCTGGTGGACGTGCAGGGCACGTTCACCTATGTGCCGAGGGAAGTGCATCTGCCCATCCGTGAGACACTTGGCACAAGAGCAACCAACGTCTTCCACGTGTAACACCATCGACCCAGATCTGGGCTGAAGATCTGAAAAGCGTTCTGAACGCTGCACACAGTAGCTCACCGCTGAGCCCCGGAGCACCTACCGCAGAGCCTGACAGTGATGTGACACGCGCAGAGACGGTCGGCCGGTCGGCACCGAGGCTGCACCAGCCGCCTGCCACACGCTCTCAGGCGTGACCAAGAGAGCAGAGCAGATGTGAATGCAGCCCAGCCTAGGCAGGCAGCCCGGGACACAGAAGGAAAAAGAACAGGCCTGTCACCCGGGGGTGCAGAGTGCCGTGCTTAGGGGAGGCAAGCATCTGAAGAAGCTACCAGAAAAGGAAGCTATGAGGTGGGGAGAAGCCGCCGAGGAGCCTCTGGCCTCTCCGTGCCTCTGATGGTCAGAGCTTATTCTGAGATCCTGGAGATTAGGGACACCATAAAAGTCAGTGAGGGGCATTGGAAAGAATAAAGCTGAGCGTCAAAGACATTTTACGACAAGACCCAGGGTAATTTATCTCCTGTAGAGCCTGAGTAAGAGGTATGGTCAAGACCAAAGGGAAGCGACACCAGACAGATGATCCGAGATCTTAGGAGGGGAGAGCTGGTTCTGGCAACATGAGGGTGAAAGAAGTGGCTACTGGCTGCACAAAATGCTGCGGAGTTTCTGTATGTGCTAAAGAAAACATTTACAATTAAAATATTAAATAAGAGTAAGCTGAGGGCAGATGAATTGAGTTAAAAATCTTCTAAATTCCACTTATTTGCAGGGAGGTGGACAGAGGTATTGATTAATTTTGAGCGATAAGATGTATATTCCCAGGGGCCACGGAGGTAACTCAGCAGTCTAAGCGCCTACAGGAAATGTGCACTCCCACCCTGAGTTTTAGAATAATTGCCAAAGAATAAAAACAAAATGCTTAACCTCCAAACAGTTGGAGGGAACAAAATGAAATGATTTTTAAAAACAATCTAAAAGAAAAGAATAGAAAAATCTAGAACAAATAGTACAAAGAAAGAACACACCTTTAAAGACCAATACTTACATGCACATTATAAAATTATGTTAAATGTAAAGGGGTTAAATATTCTAGATAAAAGACAGAGAGTATCAGACTAGATAAAAATTCCAGCTATGGCTTTTGAAAAGTAAAAGGACATTTAAGAAAAAGAAGTAGGTTGAGAGATACAAGAGGAGAATGCAGTTGTGTCATATAATAAAAGAAAAGAAAGTAGGGGTAGCTATGTTCACTGCAGGCAAAACAGATTTTTGGGACTTAAGCACTTATTTATTTATTTTCTGTATTTTTTAGGGAAGGGTCTACAGGGTGTCTCACTACTAGATCAGACTCATAGTGATCCCCCTGTTTACAGCCCCCCAGATGCTGGGATTACAGGTGCTTGCCACCACACCCAGTCTCAATTGCCATCTCAGCGCATCCTGGGGGTGCAGCCAGCAGGGCAGGCCCGGCAGATAGAACCCCTGGCCCATGCGCCTGCTTGCAGGCTCTTTAATCCGCTGAGCTATTTGGCCTGCCCTAAGCACTTACTTATAACAAATGTTCTGCTTAAAAGATAACGATTGTTCTGGCTAGATAATAAGCAGAAAAAGCCTGGTAAGAGAAAAAAACTAAATACTGGATAAGCGTGAAACTTTAAAGTGAGAGGATCTTTAAAGAACACAGACTCAATAATAATCCGCAGAGACCTAATGTCACTCCAGGAGTAGCTGACCGCCGATGGCTACAGGTTGCAGCTCTCCTGCAGCACAGATGGAGGTGGCGTTGGTGGGGAGAGGTGGACAGGGCCACCTCGCGGGGGAGTGTGGGTGGAGGAAGAGGTCGGGCTTCAGTCGGGGCCCACCACTGCCTGCTGGCGTGCAGGGAGGCAGAGGCCTGGCCAGGGAGGCAGTGTCCGCGGGATTCTGGGCCACTGGTGCTGTTCCATTTACCTGGGTGGTGGCTACACAGGCATTTGATTTTATTCTTAATGCTTAAGCCTATGTGCTATGTGCCTTTTCCCATTGCTGAGACAACACCTGACACCCACAACTTGAAGAAAGGGATCAGGCTCGTGGTTTTAGACGTTTTGGTTCAAGGTCAGCAGAAATGCATGATGAAGGGCCTCAGAGGAGGAGCAGGGCTGCTCACATCATGGGGGTCGGGAGGCAATGAGAGAAGGGAGGAGGCAGGAGGGAAGCACACCCTTGCAGACCACGCTGGGACCCTGACCGGGCCGCTCCTAGGGGCAAGGCAGCTTGAATACTACTGACGAGTACAGCACTCCTGTGATCTGGCCGTCTTCCAAACACACGCGACTTGTGGAGGTTGCCCCAGATCTAAGTCATGACGCAGTATGTTATTATAGAGATTTGCATCTGTTGAACATATCACTAAAACAATATTAAAACGCTACACTTAGCATGGTAGGAGAGTTGGGTTACTGCCCAGTGCTATCTTTAAAGCAGACCTTGGGGCCTCCCGGGTAGCTATCACGAAGCCAAGTCCTGCTTCGAATGTTCTGGTGGCCGCTCTTGCCCTTCGCTTGCCGTCCAGATCCTTGTGTGCAGGCAGCACTCCCGAGGCTCACTTCTTCCTCGGCATCTGAACTCAGCCACTGCACCTCTCCTGCTCCCCAGCTCTGGCCTGCACGCTTCCTTCCTGCTGGCCCGGGATGCGCCACGTGCTGGCTGCGCATGTCCTGTGTGTCCTGAGGAGCTTTGTCACCCCTCAGTGCCTGGCTCTCCATTCCATGAGCCTGGTCCCGGAGGCTTTTGTTGCTCATCCTAGTGGAAAGAGCCACCCCATCTTCCCTGCCTCCTTTTCTTCCCCCTTTATTTCCTTCACAGACTGTTTATTGTTTCACCTTGCTTATTTACCATCTGTCACTGTTGCCAGGAAATGACAGTGTCCCACTGGTCAGTGAGGCCTGGCGGAAGGTACAGATGCACATCAGCTGTAAAGTCCTCCCCCGTGAGGACGGGGAGCCCGCTGTGTCAGGACAGAGGGTAGCAGCAGGGGCTTTGGGGCCGGGCGTGAACTCATCACCTGCTTTTGCTTATACCCACCTTCATTCTCCGTGTCTGGGGAGACCCTTGACTTCGGGTCTGCAAAGTCAGGACAGTGGTGGCCCTGACCCAAAGGTCCCGGGGCGATTGTCTGAGTCACTTTCTTCCTGCTGGGACACAACCCCGACCCAGGGAGGAGAGGTTGTTTTGGCTCACAGTTCAGTGCGTGGTCAGCTGGCCCCAAGGTGGAAGGGGCCTGGTGGAGGAGAGGCTGCTCATGTCATGGCGGCTGGGAAGCAGAGGGAGAAGGGACACGCTGCTGGGGGCGGAAATGCAGCCTTCCGGCCCGCCCCGCCCCACCCCGGCCATGTAGCTATGGATTCATCAGTGTTTTAACCCACTTCCTTGCCTCCCTACTAGATAGGGAATAAGTGCCATTATATTAAAAGAGATTGTTTAGAAATCTCTGTGATACGTTCCTGCATAGACATTGTGGTTAATGTTGAACAAATATTTGATTAAAACATTTTAACAAAGATACTTTGTTTCTATTTTCAAGGGGAGTGGGGAATGAAACGGACAGCTGCCGGACCCTGAAAGAACTTGAGCTCCAAGTGGGAGAAAAGGTAACAGAGGTCTCTGAACACACTGCCTTCCCGCGTGGTCTCAGACATCCAGTTAGCAGCAGGTGCCACCACGCGGCCCCGCGCCCTGTCAGGGAGTTCTCACATCAGCGCCTCCTGCCCGTGGGGCTCGGCACAGGCTGAGGTGGCAGCTCCGTTCTGTGGCTCTGCCTGGGATGGTGTCGCTGCTGCTGAGTGGTACAGGCAGAAATCCCGGAGTATTAATCATGCCTGTATTAGCAGGGCCGCCTTTTCTGTTTTTGCGTTAAGACGGAGCAGGGTTTTCTTTAGGAGGAGGAAACAACTGCTTTTCAGCAGTAAATGCCCATCAAGAGTGGCGTGGTAAAAATAACTAGGCCAACTCAAAGTGATGCGCACTTGAGCCTGAGTGAGTTAGCCACCGCAGTGGTGGCGCGCATTTGCACGGGGACCGTGTGGCCCCGTTGTCTGTGCCCGTGATGGCTAGGCCCGCCTCGCAGCTCAGGACGGGAGGAGGAGATGGCAGTGTCATACGGGGCTTGGAATTGGGCGCCTTTTTAAAATGCATTTGAGCCTGTCATTTACCCGAGCAGTTTGAGAATCATGTTTTAATTTATTTGATGCAATATGTTGGTTTGAAATGTGACAAATTTTCTTTCTTTTTTGAACTCTTCTGAGACTTTCGTACATTTCCAAATCAAAAATACCCAGAGAGCCGCAAAATGTTTGCCTAAGTTTCCTGGCTGCAACCATCCACGCCAGACAATTCATCTTAATGTGATGCTTTTTACAGCATTATGCATTCCTACAACCTGCTTGGGTCTAGTTGGCGTCAGTAGGAACCCGGCCATAATGATTCCTTTCTTCTGCTGTGGTCCACTGGTGGCTCTCTTAAGAATATGTGGTCCGAGAGATGCTTCTCTTGGTGTAGGTCTTTTATTTGCGACACCCTCCTGGGACAGTCAACCGTTGAAATGGTTTGTCTTAGCAGCTTAGTATTGCCACAGATAGATAATGAAGCATTGTTTTTCTGCATGCAGCAAATAGACGTGGGCTGGGATTATAAATGGCCAAATCGATAAGGAATTTTTAAGCCAAACTCCCTCACACCCAGGCCTTTCACTTAGGTCCTTTTAGCCCAGACTTGCCCCACAGAAAGTCTCCCCCAGGAAGGTGAAGACAACACAGTTCTCCGGGTTCTTCCTGCAAGGACAGGTCAAGGTCAAGGCTGCAGGGAGGAGCCATTGATGAGAGGCTACGGGGTGCAGCCTTGTCTCCTCTGCCCTGGGGTTGGGTGGGCACACACGGCAGCCCACCCTGCCCATGCCCTGACTCACAGCACAGTGGGGGAAAGTGGAACAGATCTCAGACCAGGGTTCTATCCTAGGCTCTGCCAGCCATCAGCCAGGAGGCCTTAGGCAAGTCCTAAGGGGAGGTAACAAGGACCCATCGAAAGGCTGTGTGTGGTTAAAAATACCCAGTAATAAGCGCCTGAAGCACCGAGGTGGACCCACTCCACCTCTGAGCAGCCTGTGCTGCTCACTCACCCATCCTGGGTGGGTGTGGGGTCGTCTCCCACCCATCAGCACCCACTTGGGCCAGAGTCTGGGTGATTGCCTCTCCCCAGCCTCTGCCGCCCAGCCCTCTCTCCCAGGTATTTCCAGCTCCCTGCCTACCCTGGGGCCCTGGCTCCAAGGCCAAGCCCTGAGATGTAGCCTGTTCACTTCCAGAGGGGAGGAGTCTGCCAGGGAAGGCAAGGGGCCAATTCTGCTTACCTGAGCCCCGGAGCTTGCCTTTCCTAGTTGCTTCCTGTACAAGGAGCTGGGTTTCTCAGTCTCCGATGGTTTCCGCTCCTCGCCCCGGTACCTCTAGCTCTCTGAGCCTTAGCTTCTGAGAATGCCCGGGGGGAGGAGGCCAGGTGGGGTGACCTTGCCTCTGTCCTCAGTGACAGCATCACAGGAGGACCTGCTGCCAGTTCCTGTGACACTGGGGGAGGCGGCAGCTGCCAGCCCAGGGAGGGGCCCAGGGCATCCACGGCAGGCTCCCCTCTGGAAGTTCCTGTTGTCAAAGCTGGTAAAGCTGAGTTTTGCTCTCTACTGGGCCTGGGGCCTCGGCCAGAACTGATGCCAGAGGGCTGGGGAGATAGCTCAGTAGAATAAGTGCTTGCCTGGCAAGCACAGGGTCCTGAGTTCAATCTCTGGTACCGGAAAAAAAACCAAAGAAGCAAAACAAAACAAAACAAAACAAAACAAAAAAACAAAAAACAACTGATGCCAGAGCTGCTGGCCTTGGGGCAGAGAAATCTGTAGAAACCAGGGTCCTGGCTGCTTCTGGGACAGTTCTGAGTTACTCAGAGATACAAGGGTGAACGAGAAGAATGCAAACCGAGCCTCTTGCATGCAAGATAGTAAGTGTGGCCCCTTAGTTCATTCTGGAGCTGGCTCCCCTGCAAGGCCCCTCCTAAAGCAAGCTTTCCCCGACCCCAGGCCTATGGGGAGGAGCAGACCCAGTCTTACCACTTTCAACAACAATAGGAACTTCTAATCCCCTGCAGAAAGAAATCAGGAGGGTTTGGGTTGCAAGGTGGACCAGCCCACCTCACCTTGGTCACGAGGTGCTGCCACCCCCAGGAGTGGCAGGCAGCTACTTCAATGCCACCTTTTTCCTAATGTGCAGTTTCCTTCAGTGTGAGTCTTTATAGACCCGCCTCCTCATCTCAAAGCCCTGACTGCACCCCACACCCAAACCCGTCACTGTCATTGGAGTGGGTCCCCGTGAACAGCATGGACCAACCCTGGCCAGCCATGGTGTGGCCGCTGGACTCACTCTGGTGGACCCCAGGGCACCCCAGGAGGCTGATGTCTGAACAAGGAGGCAGACGGGAGGTTGTATTAGAAAGGAAGAGAGAGTAGGGGCTCCAGGCTCGGGAAGGTGGCCAGAACCGTCTTCTGGGCACTAATGTGATTTTCTGGATTTTGCCAACTCTAGTAATAGCCCTAGCCATCAGAGACTGTATACTTACTAGGAATTCTAAATGCTTCCTGGGAGGCTGAGGCAGGAGGATTGCAAATCTGAGCTCAGCCTAGAAAACGTAGCGATTTAGTGAGACCCTGTCTCAAAATAAACAATGCATACAGGTCTGGGGATGTAGCCCAGTGCAGAGGCTCACCCCCCAGAACCAAAGAACATTCAATAAATAAATCCTTGTGTTCACAGGAGCAGGCACATGGCGTGTAGCTGCTGTCCCATGTGGATACAGGGGAGACTGGGAATGCAGGGGACCTGGTTGACAGAGGGGCACAGCTGGTGGCGGAGAAGCTGCAGTTCCGCCCTGCCACCCCCTTCTAATGTCCTCCTCTTTCTAACCACCAGGCAGCCCTGCCCCTCAGGGCTTCTGTAGGAAAGGGCTTGCAGCTGGCTTTGTTCCCAGCCGATGCAACACCTAGCCAGGCTCCGAGGCAGACCCACTCTGCCTCTGTGATCAGCCTGTGCTTCTTGGGGAGCAAGGGCGCGGTTGTCTCCCACCCATTAGCACCCGCTTGGGCTGGCATCCAGGTGACTGCCTCTCCCCAGCCTCTGCCAGCCAGCTCTCTCTCCCAGGTATTTCCAGCTCTCTGCCTTCGTGGGGGCCCTGCTGTAAGGCCAAGCCCTGAGATGTAGTCTGCTGCTTCCAGCAGGGAGGATTCTGCCAGGGAGGGCAAGGGCAAAGCAGAGCTGTGTGTGGCCAGGGTAACAGTTTCTGCCTTTTTACTGTTTGATCATCGGTCAGCTCCTACACGAGGTGGAGGTGGAGGAGCTGAGGAGGAACGAAAAGCCCACCCTGGCCTGAAGGTGGCGGGAGCCAGTTGTGAGCCTCAAGTAACGTTACTTAGAAATAGGAGCTGCTGGGACCCGGGTGAGAATGGGGTATGTGCATAAGTGCCAGGCCTTGAGCTGGCTGTGGTGACCCATGCCCGGAACCCCTGTATTCCAGGAGGCTGAGGCAGTAGGATCCCAAGTCCAAGGCCAGGCTCGGCAATGTAGCGAGACCCTGTCTCAAAATAATAAAAGCAGTAGTTTTGAGGGTGTAGTTCAGTGTAAAAGCCCTGGGTTCAATCCCCAGCACTCCAGAATGAAACGAACAAAAATCATATAAATGCCGAGCCTTTTCTTGGGCTCACGAGGAAACTGCACTTAGCTGAAGACTGGAACGTAAGGATGGAGAATTCAGTTAAAGGAACATAAAAACAGAAATCCGAAGCCCCAGGCTATCTGCTCTCATACTGATCACGTCACCATCCAAGCGACAAAAACCCTCAAAAGAAAAGAAGGCTCCAAGGTCCGGGCACCATGATGCTGGAACATCTGGTCTACCCAGTCAGCTGTGACTAGTGTGTGCGTTGGACACCAGTGATCCGACACACATTTTTATGGGATTACCCTAGTGCCTTGGAGTTGTATAGAAGCAGGCCGAGTCATTTCAGAGGCAATTAGTAAATAATTATAGGTGCTAAGCTGCTTGCTTGCTCTGCAGCATCCTCACGGAGAAGAGGCAAAAGTGATGGGGCCGTTTGTTTTCCCAAGTAAGGGAATCTTCTCCAAAATAGGAAGCATAAGAAACGGTGGCTGGAGGAGCAGAGGAAAGCGTCACAGGAATCGCCGCCATTTCTTAAACCCACCTTAATGCGCGAACACTACATGTGTGAACGCCTGTGCCCGGATGCAGTCTGGCTGCCTAGTAAAAAGGCCACATCAAACTTGCAAGGAGGCTGTGTACCAAAACACTCGGGCCTCCGGCGCATTCCCGGCATCCTCCCGCCCCAGTCAGCCCCCCTTTGCGTGCACTCGGTATTAATTGCCGACTTTAGCAGGTATTTGAACACATCTCCCCTTTCATCTGAAGAAAATATTAGCATATCGCAGAGCTGTTGGGACAGACTGTATCTGCGGCAGTTTTTCCTCCCTGCAGAAAAGCCTATCAATCATAACTGAATATAGTGATTAATAATGTCACAGCTTTTCTCCATGTGTCTACACGCAACTAA